CTGTGTAGCAAAATATCTTTAAAATCCATGGAAAATAAAAGTTGTATCATTCTTTTTTTGAGATATGTTTATTGTATTCACATACATTTCATTATTTGCTGTGTATTCCAGAAAAGGTAGTGTTTCCCCTCTTCCAATAGGCTTTAAACAAATTTCCCAATAGTATTCAAATATTCAATACATAATTAGATTCAAGTAGATTCAAGAATGAAATAAGGAACCAGGCATCTGTAACCCTAGCTACTCAGGAGGCTGGAATGACAGAATCATAGTTCAAAGCCAGCCCACGAAGGAAATCCATGAGATTCCTCCAATAACCAGCAAAAACAGGCTAAAGGTAGGGCTCAAGTGATAGGAGGGCCAACTAAGCAAGCAAGCATGAAGCCTGAGTTGAAGCCCAAGAATCACACACACACACACACACAGATCTGGTTTGGTGGTATATACACCTACAATCCTAGTTACTTGGGAGGAAAATGGGAAGGATCAAGGATTGAGGCTCGCCCTGGAAAAAAAAATTACAAAGACCCCCATCCCTAGTCCTAAATTCAAATTATAGTACCCCAAAAATGTGGTTTATCTAAGTGACTTGACTGTGAATTCATTACATATTTTGCTTGACTTATATAAAGAATAAGATGAAGCCCAGCGCTGGTGGCTCACACCTGTAATCCTAGCTAATTAAGAGGCTGAGATTCAGACAACTGGGGTTCAAAGCCAAGCAAACTTGGCCAATTTCAAACGACAATACTAGCAAAAAAAAATGTCTGAGGTAAATTTCCCATTGGATGATAGGCACTAGTCTAGTCTTGGGTACTCAAGAGTCTGGGGGATCACTTCAGCGTGGAAAGCAAGCTTTAAAAAACAATGGTTTTCCCATCAGGGAGAAGACCCCTGACTTCTCTTCATTTCTCACTTGTTTCCTAACTAGAGACCCAGAACCTCTCTATTGCATTTTGGCTTCCATCAGAAAGTTCATCCAAGTGGTTGCTAATTGTCACAATGCAGATACCACAGTAAAGTTAAAAACGTTTGGCTGGGGAAAGGATGTCATGTGGGCGTAGGACTGTCACTCCACAGAAGCCATAAAGAGAAAATTCATCCTTGAGGACATAACTCATTCACAGCATAGCATCTGTCACATCTTTTACTATAGACTAGATGTAAGACTATTTTATACATTATACTGATCATTACATAGATTGGCTTCCAACCCAAGTACCTAGCTTTTTGCCATTATGTACAGATTCTCTTTCAGCAAGATGATCCCAGATGTGATGTAGCTATGGGAAGCTGCAGATTGATACCTAAGTCTGTTAGTGACACCAAGCTCTGGCTCCAGTGTCAGAGGGCCATAGGTAGGACACAGACCTAGATGCACTTTTGCCCTATATAAGTAACAGGTATAGAGGTGCTGATAGGGCGAGGAGAAAAATGTCTGGTCCACTGGATATTCCCTCACATCACATGAGCTGCAGGAAAAACCCGGTACATGGCTGACAACAAAACTTCAGAAAACATACCTGGTCCCACTTCCTCCTAAAGGGGCTACCATGCCATAAAGGTTTATGTGCATCTTTGGGGCCACATCACACTTAAATCTCAATGTAGCAAGTATCAGAAAAGCTTGCTCTTAGTGTCAATGCTCTGTCTTGCACTAGATCATCAATAAACTTGTTCAACTCCTACTGGCATCACAGCCTTGTTCTCAATCACTGAGAACTGTGAAGGAATAAGAGACCTTGGTTCTGTAGAAGCCTATTCATTACCAGTGATAAGTACTGCTTTACGTCAGCTACCAATCCAGGCCTCAGATGAGGCCAATGAACACAATTGATTAAAGCCCTGGAGACATGGAAAGACACAATAGACGAATAACTAAGTAAATAGTATATTGATTGGCAACAAGCTACCGGGAGGGAAAAAATACGGGTGTTTAAATGGAGGGTGTTTAATACAGAATATTCAGAGGGCCAATGTACAGCTGACATGGATTCTGACTTGCAACCCATCAGACTGCCTCAGAGCTGCCCCAGCAGAGGCTGGGGCTGCCCAAGCCATAGAGTAGATTGGAAGAGGTGAAAGACTCAGGGATCTGCCTCCTATGAAGGCCAACCACATCCTTGGGTCAAAGAAAACCATATACTCACCAGCCACAGACCTGGGTTCTAAAGCTAACAGAACAGCTAGCAGGAAGGAGACGTGGACCCGGAGCAGCAAGTGCTACTGCAAGAACCAACACAAAATTAAGCATTCCCTCTCCTAGCAGCACATACTGGGACTCTACTTCCCCATATACTTGGGTCCTTTGGATTCCAGTCACCTTAGGGAAGGCAAAGCATACAAAAGAACTGACCACTACCCAGAGTGTCTGTTTAATCAACCAAATTGCTTTGTTCAGGTGACAGCATTCATTTTCTCTTGCTGCCCAACAGCTGAGAGCTAAAAGAACCATCAATCTACCATGATGCTACATTTTATCTAGGAGCAGGAGGGAGGAAAGGAAAGACGGAAGAACTGCAAACAGTAAAAGAGATGCTTTTGAGGAATTTTTCCGGAACATGGAAATTAGAAGAAAATAGGAGGGATGCTATAGGAGAAAAACTGATAGTGCAATGTCCTCAAGGAGGTAAATGGAGTTATGGGACACTAACTCATCCTAGGGAAGCAAGGAGATTCCATGGATACAGACAGGGGAGAGTACAAACTTTTTCTTCTATTTGCCTTTTTTCCCTCAGAGAAATAAGATGTGTTAGCAGCTTTGAGGATGGAGAAACAGAATCAGGGTTCAAGGAGAGTGGAGGGAACACAGGAGTAGTCTGGCATCTAGGGAAGAGTGGAGGTAGAGTGAGTATTCCAATGGCAGGTGGAGGAAGCTAAGCACCTCGCTAGAGCCCTGCAATTACAGCAAAATAGGGAGTGTGAATGGAGTCAGCAGAGGCTGCATTGTAGCTAAGTGGTCAGGTATGACAGTGGGGAGTGATTGTGGTGACTGTTCACAGAGTTTAGGAGAAAGTTAGGCAGGTGAGAGATAAGGAAAAGGCAGAAGGGTTAACTGATTGGAGGAATCCCATAAGGTGGAGTAGAGAGACAGTGAGAGTGACCTAGAAAGAGCAGGTATAGGGCTGGGAAGGTGGCTCAGTGGTAGAGCACTTGCCTTGCATGCCTGAGGCCCTGGGTTCAATTACTCAGCACCACATAAGCAAAAAGAAAAAAACCGGAAGTGGTGCTGTGGCTCAAGTGGTAGAGCGCTAGCCTTGAGCTGAAGAGCTGAGGACAGCACCCAGGCCCAGATTTCAGGCCCCACGACCGGACCAAAAAAAAAAAGAAAGAAAGAAAGCAGGTATAGAGGTCAGAAGTTGGGAGGAATGCAATCAAGATGCAGGAAGACTCCCAGTAGTTGTAAGGCAAAAGGTAGATCAGAAGGAGTGCTGGCTGACAGAGTGTGCAGGATACAATCATTCATAGAAAGGAAACCAAGAATAGATATGTGAGGCCAAAGCCAGACACATGGGGACTGATGGAAATTTTTCCTCCTTTTGATTGTGGGGCTTGAACTCAGGGGCCTGGGCATTGTCCCAGAGCTCTTTTGCTCAAGGCTAGCACTCTACCACTTTGAGCCATAGCTTCACTTCTGGGTTTTGAAATAGTTAATTGGAAGTAAGAGTTTCACTGGGACTTTTCTACCGGGGCTGGCTTCAAACCACGATCCTCAGAGTTCAGCCTCCTGAGTAGCTAGGATTACAAGCATGCACCACCAGCACTGGCTGGTGTGCATTTTATCAGATGTAGTGCTTAAGGAGACCATGAGAGAGAGGGAGGGTGAGTGATGGGGAGAGGCTGATGAATTTAGGCACAAGCTTGGTTTAGAAAAGCAAGAAACAGCTGTGATGAAGATGGCAGTTACATCTCATGGTTCCTGCTTGTAAGAGAACTACAGAAGTGTGTCTCTAGGGTGGTGCCAGGTTTCAGGTTTATAAAAAAAAGGGACTTTGAAATGAACTATATAGCTTGTGGCCAGGGATGGGATAGGGGGAACTGGGAGAAATCGAATGAAGGAGGGACATTGCCCCCAAACAGAAATGTACTCATTACTTGACTACTGAAATGGTAACCTCTTATACCTTACTAGTAGCAATGAAATAAAATATTCTTAAAAAGGAAAGGAATTTGAAAGAATCTAATGAACACTGAAGCCATGACAGAGATGAGTGAGAAAAAAAAAGGAGGGGGAAAAATCAAGAAAGAAACCTTCTAGACTTGCATTCGTCAGCACAAGGATACAGGACTTGCAATAGAACAGTAAGTACACTTGGATGAGGACCACGGAAGGCCTGACAGACTGCCGAGCTGTGACACCAGGTGAAGGGTTAAACAGAAAGCACAGTGCTACATATATCCCGTGTGTACACTGTCAGCTGTCGCTATTAAGACTAAAGGGAACTGTGAAATTCCTCCCGTGTTCATCCTTTCCCTGACATCTCTCAGAGGTTGGCAAATCGTTTCCAGTTTTCCAGTGTGCACATAAACATGCAAGTCTCAGTATGATGAGAACATGTGTTCCTGCTCCCTCCACCACCGCACCGAAATTTAGAAAAGGAGAGTTGGGCCAGGATTGGTCCAGGGTCACACCGCAACTCTAGTGGGTCCAGGATAAGATACAACTGGGAGAGGCTCTCACTTCTGGTGTGGGTGTTCTGCGAGGACTGTGGCTTCCTGGTGGCACCCAGACGGCCCAGGGTGTAGGAGAGGGCGCGGGGCGGGGCGGGGCGGGCGGGGGCGGGGACTGTAGGCTGGCGCTGTGTAGCTCCCCGAAGCGCAGGGCTGCACCCCCCTCGCAGCAGTGTGGGCTGCGTGGTGCGGGGTCCCCACTTCCACCAGGGCTCCGGGGGGTGCGGTCTCCTCGCACCTGCGGCGCGGGCCGGGCCGGGCAGCCAGCACTCGCCGAGCGGGGAGACCCGCGCGTTTCGGGCCTCGGCTCCCCGATGCGGGGCGCGTCCATGGGCAGCCCGTGGAACAGCAGCGACAACCCCGGGGGCGCGGCGGAGCCGGAGCCGGGGTGGGCCCCGCTGCCACCCTGCGACGAGCGCCGGTGCTCGGCCTTCCCCCTGGGCGCTCTGGTGCCCGTGACTGCCGTCTGCCTGGGCCTGTTCGCCGTCGGGGTGAGCGGCAACGTGGTGACCGTGCTGCTGATCGGGCGCTACCGGGACCTGAGGACCACCACCAACTTGTACCTGGGCAGCCTGGCCGTGTCCGACCTGCTCATCTTGCTCGGACTCCCCTTCGACCTGTACCGCCTGTGGCGCTCGCGGCCCTGGGTGTTCGGGTCGCTGCTCTGCCGCCTGTCGCTCTACCTGGGCGAGGGCTGCACCTACGCCACGCTGCTGCACGTGACGGCGCTCAGCGTGGAGCGCTACCTGGCCGTGTGCCGCCCGCTCCGCGCACGCGCGCTCGCCACCCGCCGCCGCGTGCGCGCGCTCATCGCCGCGCTCTGGGTCGTGGCGTTGCTCTCCGCCGGGCCCTTCTTCTTTCTGGTGGGCGTCGAGCAGGACCCGGGCGTGCTCGCCATCCCGGAGGGAAATGGCACGGTTCTCTTCCACCCTTCAACTCCGGCCTGGTCGTTGCCGTCTCTCGGGTCCTCGGGGTGGCCGCCACTGCCCTCGCCGTCGGGGCCCGCCGCCGCCGCCGCCGCGCTGTTCAGCCGCGAGTGCCGGCCGAGCCGCGCGCAGCTGGGCGCGCTGCGCGTCATGCTGTGGGTCACCACCGCCTACTTCTTCCTGCCCTTCCTGTGCCTCAGTCTCCTCTATGGGCTCATCGGGCGCGAGCTGTCGAAGAGCCGGGGGCCCCTGCAAGGCCCCGCCGCCTTGGGGAGGGAGCGGGGCCACCGGCAGACCGTCCGTGTCCTGCGTAAGTGACGCCCCAAGTCCAGGCTCCACCGGAGCGCCCGCCCGCCTCCCGCCCGCCCTTCCCGCTCCCGACCCGGGGCGCCCCCGAGGGTGGGAGTTCCAGATCTAGTAAACAACTCCAGAATGGGTCTTAATCCAAAGGCCGGTCCTTGTGAGATGCCGCAGGTGTGCATTACGCACTGTACCCCGAGAGGGCCGCGTGGGGAGCCTGCATTCAGCCAAAGATTTATTATCATTATTGTTAAAAGTTACTGGCCGCGCGCCGGTGGCTCACGCCTGTAATCCTAGCTACTCGGGAGGCTGAGATCTGAGGCTCACAGTTCAAAGCCAGCCCAGGCAGGAAAGTCTGTGAGACTTATCTCCAATAAACCACCAGAAAACGGGAAGTGGTGCTGTGGCTCAAGCGGTAGAGCGCTCACCTTGAGCTGAAGAGCGCAGGGATAGAGCCCAGGCCCAGAGTTCAAGCCCCGCAACCGACCAAAAAAAAAAAAAAAGCCGGCGGTTAAAGGGAAACTTGTCCCAACGAAAAAGTCAAAGATGCCGGGCGCTGGTGAATCATGCTTGTAATCCTAGTCCTAGCTACTCAGGAGACCACGATGGGGATCATCGTGTTTTGAGGCCAGCCCTGAGAATTTTACCTTGAGGGAAAAAAAAAAAAGCTCAAAGACAGTACCTAGGCGCTGAGGTCAAATCCCAGGACACAGGGAGAGACTGAGAGGGAGAGGTAGTCAGAACTAAGAATGCGTCTCTGAAGCTGGTTTGGGAAAGGAAGCCTGCCAAAACGGCTTTTTAGAAGGACTTGCCCCTTCTGGTTTATGCCCAGCCTTGATAACACATGAGCCTGACAGGCAGTTTTGAAGCAATATCCATGCAGTAAACAACCTCACCCACTGCATGGAGATCTGGCTGAGTAAAAGGTTCTAATTTATTTTGCCATGTAGTTTCTTGGGAGGCTTATTTGATTTTTTAATTTATTTTTTTATTGTGAAAATACCATACAGAGGCGTTACAATTACATGGGCAAGGTAATGAGTACAGTTCTTATCAAGCATTGTTGCCTCCTCCTTTGTTTCCCCTTCCCATCCCTTCCCATCTCCCACCCTCAACCCCCACCCAAGTTGTAAAGTTCGTTTTTCAACATAACAAATTGTACATCTCATTGTTGCAATGGGTCCACCTGTATCCCTATTAAAACGATTTGTTTTTTTCCCTTCCCCTCCACAAATTATACCAACATCAAATACAGTGAGTGACAGCAGGGGGGGAGGGACATACAAAGCAACAAAGAAATAATCTTATAAATGTGTTAGAAACAATCGCAAGAAAGAAAAAACATTTGAATACTTATCTTGGGGTTCATTTCACCTAACATCAACTTATCTGACCTTTTCTGCTTGCTCAGACATATACTAGTTATTGCAAATGAGGGAAACCATGGGGACCTATGATTCTTTGGGCCTGGCTTACTTCACTTAATATAATTTTTTCCAAGTCTTTCCATTTCCTAACAAATGGGGCAATGCCATTCTTTCTGATGGAGGCATAGAATTCCATTGTGTGCATATAACACATTTTCTTGATCATTCATCTACTGAGGGGCATCTGGGTTGGTTCCATATCTTAGCTATGGTAAATAATGCTGCAGTAAACATAGTTGTGCTGGTAGCTTCAGTGTGGTCTTGTTTGTGATCATTTCTTATGTGTTGTTGTTTTGCTCATTGGGGCACCTGTGTCTTGTTTTGCAGTGGCGGTGGTTCTGGCATTTATAGTGTGCTGGTTGCCTTTCCACGTTGGCAGAATCATTTACATAAATACAGAAGACTCCCGGATGATGTACTTCTCTCAGTACTTCAACATTGTCGCCCTGCAACTTTTCTATCTCAGCGCCTCCATCAACCCAATTCTCTACAACCTCATTTCCAAGAAGTATCGAGCAGCTGTTTGTAAATTTCTGCTCACAAGAGAGTCCAGGTAGAGAGGTTTGGGAAGAAGCCCAGACACTGGAAGGGATGCAGGGGAGAGGGACACTGCTGGTTACACAGAGACAAGAGCTAACACAAAGATGATGACCTAAACAGTACAGCCAAGACACTTCTGGGACTTTGAGGATGACAGGTCTATAGATAAATTGAGCCTGGAAATGGAGGAGTGGATGTCCTTAAAAAAGAATGGAAAGTATGGTTGAAAACTCACAGGTTGGTTAAGAAAATGTCCATGTTTCTTTTTTAACCAAGCTTTTCTAGTTTCCCTTTAATCAGTCTCTGCTCCCTGTATCATCTTGAAATCTTAACATCACAGAACATGCTATTGGAGATTTTAAGTCTTTTTGTGGGTCCTAGGACTTGAACTCAGGGCCCAGACACTGTCCCTGAGATTTTTGTATTCATATCTAGTGCTCTCTACCCCTTTAGTCACATCTCCATTTCTGGCTTTGTGTGTGTGTGTCTATAGTTAATTGGAGATAAGAGTCTCAAGGACTTTTCTGTCTGGGCTGGCTTTGAATGTGATCCTCAGATCAGCAGGAGCCACTGGCACCCAGCAGGTTTTAAGTCTTAATTCAGTCTTCTGCACTTTGGGAATATGGCTGCTCATTTTATAGATAATTGATGCAGAGAGCTCTCTCAGATCAGAGATAGGTTTTGTTTGGATTTTTGAAATATAAATATAGTATGCCTACCTATACAAGGAATTGGGAGGGGTTGGATTCAAGAAATTATTTAATGCCTAAATGTGTTAACAATTCTTAAACACAAGTAAGAATTCTAAGTAGGGTCCAAAGTTCTAGCAGTCCCACTGTCTCCCAAGACTGGAAGCAAATCACAAAATTAGGCATAATGACATTCCTCCTCCTACCCTAAGAAGGACTCTACATAAATAAATCTGTGTCACAGACTCATTCCCTCCAAAACTCAGGCAACTGAGGCCTGAGATCAGGAGCTTGCTCTTCTACTATGACTTCTAACAGAACCGTTGAACAGCGCTTCCATGTTTTATAATGGGCCTCAGCCTGGTGGGATGATAATCCATCATTTCTGTCCTACTGAGTCTTAGATTTCCCATACAGGAGCCCCGAGAACCTGAATCTGAAATCCAGACTGAAGGATTTGCCTCTCCCAATCTTACCCCCTTCTTTCTATGTATCCAAAGATGGAATACGAAGGATTGACCCCCCCCCCCTGTTTTCCCAGGTGGTATGCCAGGCATACCACCAAAGATAGGCACAGACTGCCTGACACCAGCAGGGCAATCTACTTAAGTCTGTAAAAATTCCCTTGTGGGCCCAGCTGAAAAGCCCCTCACCTCCCTAGACCTAATAGCTTTTTTTTTTTTATTAACCTCTGCCTTCTTGTTCAGACCTCATAAAAACCCAACTCCTGTCTCACCTCCTTTCACAGTCTCCAAGACCATGAGAAGGCTGTGCCCCTTGCTGCTATATCTCAATAAACAGTCCTTGCCTATGGAAGATGGAATCCAGCCTGTTTCCTTCCTTCATTTCCTAAAACAGACTCCCACATGGAGATTCTGTTCTCACAAAAAACAACAAAAACAGGAGTCAACGAATGAAAGGGAATATGTTGAATGTACAGATTTTAAAAAGAAACTGAAGCTTTTTCTTATACCTCATTTGACAACAAAAACACATTTGCATGAGAGCTGCTGCCCTGTCACACAATTGCAAAGGGAGTTTCACACCTCTGTCTGCAGGTATGGCACCCCCTGAATGTGGGCAGGGCACAACTCTTGGTTGTACCTGGGGTCCTTTTGGGGTTTTCAGATTGATGGAATTCAAATGAAAATTACAACAAATTGTGTACATTTATGAAAAGTTTGTTCTGGGATTGTCATGAATTTTCAAATCTACAAATACCAGAAAAAACATCAAATGCTTTCATCAGTTACTTTGGGGGAGGGGGTCAGGGTAATGTGTTCCAGTACTTGAAGTCAGTGTCTGAGCTTTCTTCACTCAAGGCTGGCACTCTCCACCACTTGATCCACTTTTGGCTTTTTGAGGCTTGATTGGAGATAAAAGGCTCAGGGACTTTCCTGCATGGGCTACTTCAAACTATGATCCTCAGATCTCAGCCTTAAGTAGATAGGATTATAGCTACGTGTAAGCCACCAGTGCCTAGGCAGGGTTAGAATTTTGTTGTGACTTTCCTTCAGTTTCTATAAGGAATAAGGCAACAAAGAGATAATCTTATAAGTGCATTAGAAACACATGCATGAAAGAAAAAAAACATTAAGATACATATCTAAGGGTCTGAATGAGACTTGGAGTCTGGAGAGTTCTCTCCAGCTACTCATCATCTTGATGACTCTGCTCTGCAGCTCGATGTTTGACAATCAGTAAGTTTCTAAATCCCTTTATTTCACAGACCACTAAGAACTTCTATGAATCTGTTACAACTGCAAATGATGACTAAGCCATCAGGAGTCATTTTAAGATGCTGACCAAGTTCTGTAGTTCCTTCATCTTATTAATCAAACATAGGCAAGCATACTAAGTCACTGGCCTCCGCCCCAGCTGGAGTGCTGGAGTGAAGGAATCTCTTACCCCAAGTTCAATCCCCAGTACTACAAAAAGAAAAAGGATAATGGGCAAAGGATAAATAGGGTAGGGGGAAGAAGACAGCCATCTCTTGAGGAAGCATTCCCTAAACCGGGTTCTGAAGGTCTTATCGATTCTTTGACATGAGGGCTCTGTGGTCAAATATAGCAGAAATCACCACGTTATTATTTCTCTGTCATAATAAAATACAAGGAATTAGAGGCTTTAAGACATTGCGCCACTGCGGATTTCTTTGATATATTCTATCCCAGAATCAACTCCCAGGCAACCTTCCCCAGAATCTTCACTAAGACCTATGGAATGAGGTACACTTCTGGAGACACCCATAGAGAGATGCTTATGGGCTGGGCCAGCATTGGCCTGCCACTTCTCTGTGTGGCTCACTGAGCTGGGATGAGCTGTTGCAGACTCTGCCCATGAGAGTTCCTCTCTGGAGTAGGCAGAAAAGTCACAGTGGAAAAGAAAACCTTACAGATAACTGTTGAATATTGACAGGAAAAAAAGCAAAGACTTCCCTGAACTTTCTCATTCAAATTGTAGAAAACAGGTATTTTTGTCGTACTTTCCTGCAACCTAAACACATCCCCAAGTGAGAGGCCTCACTCTTACCTTTGCCACAGGTTCCCCAAGGGGCAGGGTCTGACACCCATCCTTCCCGCAGTTCCCTGCATGGTAGACTGTGAGATATAGTGTGCCACTTTTTCTTTACAGGAAGAGTGGGCAAGAAAAGAATAGTGCATAACACAGTACTTGTCGTATAAGTGATTAATGTGTTGTGAAATTGTGTATATGTGTGTTGATACTGAGGCTTAAACTCAGGGTCTCATGCTCTCTGCTCTTGCTGGACTTTTTTGCTCAAGACTGGTGCTTGAGTCACACCTCCACTTCTGGCTTTTTAGTGGTTAACTGAAGAGTCTCACTGACATTTCTGCTTAGGTTAGCTTTGCACCCTGATCTTCAGAGCTCACCCTCCTACATAGGATATCAGACATGAGCATGTATACATTGGTTGGTGTTTTTCTTGGTTCAGAAATTATATATCTTTTACTATGGATCATGGTCAAAATTTTTTGAAAAGTTGCTCTGAGGCCTACATTGTTCAGTCCAGCAGAGTAGCCTATCGTGCTGAGAACCAAGCTGGGTAGTCCCCAGTGACCTAGTCATGGGTCACTTAGCTCCGTGTGTCATGGAGACTATGCCTGGCCACTGTCTCTTCCATGACAGAGTCATATGCTGATGTTCCAGCAATTTTTCTCTAAGTCTTTTCACTTTTACAGGCCAGAATACAGTGTGTTATGTAAGCTGCCAGTATTGGGACATGGTTTGTATTTCATTCATTCACTTGGCAACTATTTACCAAGCAGCTGCTAAGTACCAGACGTATAGAACCAAATTACTAAAAAAAAAAAAAACTAATCTATATTATGACATCAGAAGCAATCAACTTTTTTTGTCAGTTGTGGAGCCTGAACTCTGGGCCTGGGTGCTGTCACTCAGCTCTTCAGCTCAAAGCTTGTGTGAACTCTGGGCCTGGGTGCTGTCACTCAGCTCTTCAGCTCAAAGCTTGTGTTCTACCACTTTAGCCACAGTGCCACTTCTGGCTTTTTCTGCTTATGTGGTGCTGAGGAATCGAACCCAGGGCCTCATGCATGCGAGGTAAGCCCTCTACCACTGAGCCACCTTCCCAGCCCCCAATCAACCTTTTAAAGCACCTTTTGTTTGGAAAATGTAATTATGTCACTTTGACCATGATCTCAGCTCACAGGTTAACAATGCATGTACATCAGAGGAAGAGCAGATGTGGAGCCCCTTCTCTCTCCTGTAAGAAGATGTCACTTTCAAAGGTAATGTTCAATGAGCTATTATTATCACCTCTCTGAATCTAAGGGGCCCCAGGTCCATTTCTCAAAGATGCACATGAGCTACTTGTTGGTGATGTTTGAGAGTTTGAATCTGCCCTCTCCTGACCCCTTGTGCTAATGTCATAATAGCACTTGCCAGTGCATGGGAGTTGTTTGTATTTAAGTGTTAATGCATAGGTCTAGAGGATTCAGAATGTCTTTAATTAAACATAGACATGATACAATTTTTTCATTGTGAGTCTACTTTCTAAAGGCCCTGAGCTCCAAACATTACAGAGTCCTGAATTAGGAGCAGCTGATTCCTCTTCTGACAGCACAAAAAAATCTGAGATAATGCTTGGGTGGCCAATGAAGGCCTTGTCATTTGCTCTATGCAAGAACCAGACTCTACCCACTGCTTTCTTAGGGAAAAATAAAAAACACTTTTAAAGAACACCAGGCCTGTACTCATTATCTTGCCCATGTAATTGTAACCCCTCTGTACAGTATTTTCACAATAATAAAAAAAAAAGAATACCAGGCCACTGTGTGATTAGGGATAAAAATTGTCAGTTAGAGCAGAACTGAGTGTGGACAGTCAGTCGGGGTGATTCACTGTGTAAGACCATTATCAGCAGCTGTTTAAAAATTAACACATTTAATAGAAGCAATAGCAATCTATAGTATTCTATGATAAGAGGTTACTTTGGAGAAAATGACAACACTTTACAATTTACTAGGGATGTAGAAAAGTTAACCCCAGACAATAATGCAATATCATTTCAAACATATTAGAATGATCAAACCCCAGAATGGTGACATATACCAGGGGTAAGGCGACTTACAGCAAATCTCTGAACTATACTTTTAATTTTATAGAGATCCTAAAGTTGCCAAAAGTCTAAAAGATAATGTTGAAAAAAATGACCTCCAAAGGTGTTATAATTGAATTTTCCTGAAGAAAATTATGCAGGCTGACTATTCTTTCCTCTCTGAGTCCTTAAGACTCCAAATACACTCTGGAGTAATCTCATTGCCACCACAGGAGGCCAAGTTATGACTTGAATGAGGAACTTTCCCTGGAAGACAGCCACACTCAGTTGCTTACCAATTGTCTGTGATGCTTTGCCCTAAGATAAAATAAAGCAACAGAGACCAAATGGCCCCCAAAGACCTGGGAGTCAGGTTTCACCATTTGAATCTTCTTTATTTGTAATTTGGTGGCACTAGGGTTTGAACTTAGGGTCTTGAGAGCCCTACCACTTGAGCCAGGCTCTCAATTTTTTTTTTCAGATAGGATCTCAGGTTCCACAATCACCCTACTTAGGCTTTCCATGTAGCTGGGATGACAGGTGTATACCACTGTGCCTAGATTTGCTTTGAGATAGAGGCTCATGAACTTTTTGCTCAGCCTAGCTTCAAACTGGGACCTCTGCCTTTTGAAGGGCTAGGATTACAGACATATGCCACACACCAATCTTGGAAGGTTTAGAACTTGCTGGGAAGCTGTAGTCCAGCCCAATGGATTGTGTGTATGTCCTGGCTCAGTAAGTCCAGAATAGGGCCTAAGATTCTTCTTTACCAACAAGTTCCTAAGTGATGCTGATGTTGCTGGTCCAAGGGCCTCATTTTTTCCACATATAAACAAGAGGTAATAAAACTTTTATGTTTTAGGGCTACTGTATTGAAGCAATGTCCATATATATACATATATGCATAAATATATATGTATAGGGGCTGGGAAGGTGGCTCAGTGGTAGAGCACTTGCCTTGCATGCTCGAGGCCCTGGGTTCGATTCCTCAGCACCACATATGAAAAAAGCCAGAAGTGGTGCTGTGGCTCAAGTGGTAGAGTGCTAGCCTTGAGCTGAAGAGCTGAGGGATAGCGCCCAGGCCCAGAGTTCAGGCCCCACGACCGGACCCCAAAAAAAATCCTCTTGATTATATCACAGTGACTGTCAGTGTAATAGCCAATAAGATGATAATGATGATGATGATGATGATGATGATGATGATGATGGCGGAACTGGCAAAAATAAAAATAAATGACTCCTGTTTTATCAGTGGGCTAATACACACTGGGCTTGACATGGAGGCTGTTTAGAGCTTGGATTTGTTCTGATTGGTTTTGTGTCTTTTCGATACTTCAGTTTCCATTTTAACTTCATGCCATTAGGGCTCTTGCTCTCTCTCTCTCTCTCTCTCTCTCTCTCTCTCTCTCCCCCTCTCTCTCTC